TCTCTAACAGAATGTTGACAAGCTCAAAACCAGCAGTCAGCTGCTGTCTATAAACTTTTTCAGATTTTATTGTGCATAGTGTGTGTGATTCTGGCAGTGTTTGAGGATCTTCCCTTTTGAAGGAGAGCTGCTTAGTTGTTGGTGGCAAGGTCTTACCCTTCATCAGGGATTCCAGTCTGATGCCTCTCCCTTTGAAAAGTCTCTCACCGGTCTTTGAGCAGAGCAGCTGTATCCAGATCTGCTCATTTGTCTTCAGCTTCACCACAGGATCCTACAGAAGAAGCTGGTGCTATGATTTAGGCAAAAACTTTTGAGTTTGTCATGGTATGACAAAATGCAAGCATCTTAAGGTCATGTCAAGGTGCAAATCATGTTCTTTTACCTTATGCAGGGGAGTGATTGGTCTATCAAAGTACTGTATACAGTGTTTTAGCAGTGCAGGAATTGGACACCTTTGCAAATGCACAGAGATGTTTCAAATAGCCTTAGAGACACTTTTTAGGACGGGAAGGTTTCATGAGCACTTTGACTTTATAAGAAATGCTAATAAGAATAGCTTTTCCACAGTAAGAAATTTTTAGTGCTTCTAAATAAGTACTAGCCTCTCTGCTTCAGGCTGCCGTGGAAGCTCTTCTATACATGTTCTTGACTTATTTTTCAGCCTGGCCGTCTGCAAACAGTGAGTAGCTACAGGAACATTCTTGCTTGCTCTTACTTCTCCTGGCTAAGATAATTTTTTCTGGAGCCCATTGTACCGTATGACTGACAGCCTGAAGATGTTGCCTGCATTCACAGAAATTCCAGTGTCAACCTGGAAGTTCAGCTCTTTCTCTTAAGGAGGGTAGAATATCTTGGCATTAGAATATACATGCTTACTCATATTTATTTTGGTTAACATTAACATTAGGAAGCATTCTCTTAGATGTACTTATGTTGCCAAAGGAGTTGGATATTTGTGTGTGCGGGTATAAAAGGCTCTCTAAGGAGCTATTAACTTGCTTGCTGGAAGGGGTGAGAACTAGGCTCTCTGTTAGCTCAGTTATGATTTATCTTATGGCCATCTTTAACATGCAACTACAAATGGAAGGCTTTTCAGTGTTAGTCTTACCATGCTAAGATTTCTAATTAGTCTGATGCAGTTTTCCTCTTGTCAAGAGACCCTGTCCCATAGTGGGATTTAAACCTGGATTATGTATGTTTGATGGGCCAGAGTCTGAAACATCGTTCCTTTGCTACCATCGGTGGCCTCCCAGTGGGATGTCTGTGTTCCTGATAGCTGCAGAACAGTTAGTTGGAGCTCTGTTTTCTTTCATCTCTCAGCTGTACTGCTGCCATTAGGAGAACAGTCCTTCAGTGTGTGTTCATCTAGGGATTCGTTGGTCTCTTCTCCAGGTAAATGGAGTTTTTGTGAATAGCGCTATGCACTGTTTGGAGATACTCACTGCATCAATGTATGCATGGGCAATTGCTTGAAGGAGAGAGACAAGTTCCTTATCTGTTACTGTTCTTTTGTAATTATGTGTTCATTCACAACCTGCGCTTCTTTCCTCTTTGCCCAAGTCCCTGAGAGATTTCTAGGGAGCTGGAAGAACTTCAGAAGAAACCTGTTCACCACCCATTTTATGGCCACAAGCAGAGAGAATTTGTGCATGTCCCTCTAAATTCTATTCAAGCATATTATTTCCACTTACAGTACTTGTATAGAAGCACACGCACTGTGAATAAACATGAAGTGTGGATTGAATAATGATTACAGGCAGGTAGTCTTTCTGAAGTTCTTCAGGTGAAGTGGCATGGAATAATCCAGTATTTTGTGCACTGGCATTCTGTAGACTTACTGCCTGGTGTTTGTGGAAGGTGATTTTCCAGCTGTTTGGCTGCTGAAGGCCATGCAGCTCTTCCCTGACATTCTGTTCAGTCACCCACAGTGAGACTTTTGCTTTGTTCCAGCTAAAGGGAGCCTGTAGGAAAGATGGGGAAAAATCTTTTTAGCAGGGACAGCTGTGACAGGACAAGGGGTAATGGTTTTAAACTAAAACAGGATAGGTTTAGACTGGATATAATGAAGGAATTCTTTACAATGAGGGTGGTGAAACACTGGAAGGGCTTGCCCAGAGAGGTGGTGGAGGCCCCATCCCTGGAAACATTCCAGGCCGGGTTGGACAGGGCTCTGAGCAACCTGATCTAGTTATCAGTGTCCCTGCTCACTGCAGGGGGGTTGGGCTAGATGACCTCTAGGGGTCCCTTCCAACCCAAAACATTCTATGATTCTATATTCTCTGTATTCTAGCTGCTGACATCCTGGTATTTCAGGATGTTTGGGAGAGGATCTGAAGATACATCATTCTTCCTTTCTGGAGTAACTGGATACCATAGCCCTTATGTTACACTCTAGTAGAGGCACAACTCTGACGAACATGGATCACTCCGAATGATGTAGTTGTCTATGTTGAAGAGACACACACATCTGTAGAAGGATATGCATTCATATTCAGTACCACAGTTGTTGCGGTGTGACTTTGCCTTTTGCATCCAAAACTTCTAGATCTCATTCTGTGTATTTCATCATCTTTCTAATCAAAGACTCTGCAAGAGGCCTGCATCTAAAAGGCTTTTTTACAGAAATCTATAAGTAAAGATCACTTGTCTTTATTGCAGGATCTTGCAAAACACATAGTTGAGCGCTGCTGATACAGAATCATTTGTTTGAAAAACACGTAGATATCGCTAACTGACTCTGTGAATAACAGTTCTTACAACAAGCATATTTTCCAAAAGCCCTGCAAAGCTCTTTCCCTTTTTTTGCATGAGATGTAGAAAACCCAACCAAATACTTCAGGCAGAATACAATTGGAAAGCCCTGCTTTGCACCACAGTAGTTTACTGCTAATGACAAAGAAACTTGGTCCTTGCCAGTAAATTATTTAATATGAAATGTTTAACTTGCTCCAGCAGAAAGTGGCGACGGATCGGCACTAAGATCCCAGTTCCTTCAGGCTGCACCCTTTCAGTAGACAAGGAATGTTTGCTGGGCCAGTGTGTGCCACCCTCATAACTAAGTACACTCCATGTGCATTCACGCATGTGTTGACTTGATCCTTGCCATGAACTGTGATGATACCTCTGTGCGGGAAGAGAAGGACAGTAGGAGTGAAGACATCAGGATGTTCCTCCAGCTTCAGTCCCTTCTCCCAGGATCGGCTTGTTTTACCATAACAGCACAGCTGATGCTGAAGGATCAGCATTCATACGAGGCGGGAAGGAGGCCCTTCTTCCATGGGAGGATGTGTGTAATAGCTGTGCACTGAAGAAAGCTGACCTGCACGTGAAGAGGGCCCCTGGAAATTGGGTCCTCTCCCTGCAGTTGCCAAATGGTTTAGACAAACAGTAGGAAAAGGAATTGTACTTGAGCAAAGCCAGATTGACTGGGGTTGAATGATGCTTAAAATGGCAGTGCCAAGGTCTTGATGTGGAAGAATGAGAGAAATACATTGTCTTTATGGTGAATGTGTCCTTCAGTGTGTACCTACCTTATGCAGTTTGTCTGCCTAACACTTATTTTCTCGGTCTTTAACTGCCTGCTCATTTCCACCTTCCTTCTCTCCAAAAACACTTGACACCAAAATACCCTTCATATTTGTATGGATGTGTTCTGAGTATGCTACTGCTACTGCACAGCTCTGGAGAGGCTGCCTTGTCTAATCTAGGTGATCTTGTGCGCTCTTGGGGGATTTAGTTTCTGTACTTAGATTTGACAAAAATTAAACTATGCTAAGTTTGTGGAATGTTGTCTTCTGCATTTAAGGGCTATTTAATTCTGGTGCTTGTTTATTGTTTTAGCATTCTCCTATCTGAAAAAAATCTTAGTATGTTGCTTGCAAGCCTTTCAAACTGAGGCTGGAAAAGTTGTTTTAACTTTTTTAAATTACTAAAAAGTAAGGAAATCACAGAAATACTGGACCTGACATTGCTGTTTTTTCTAATATAAAATAAAATATTGGGGACTCATTGAATGTGATTCTGTTTAGAGGCTTTTTTGTATATTACAAGCAAAGAATGATATAGTACAATCTCTGTAGTCAGTACTGTTTGATTATCAGATAATTGTTTGGACACCAAAAAGCCTACCTTTCCTTGCTAGTGTAATAGACTTGTTTTAGGTGTTATAGCTGTTTGTTACACCTTTTCAATGTTTTGCTTCATTAGAGCTCAAAATCTTAATATGCTTATTAAAAAAACAAAACAAAAAACACAAAGGTGTTCAGATATACACATGCTGCATTGTCATCTTCCACTGCCCTTTCTATCTTTATACCTTTAGACATACCAAACAGAAGATAAAGTATAAAATTTAGAAAAGACCACTTTATACTTTTGGAATAATACTTTTAAGACATTTGAAATATAATATAATTGATTATTTGATTCCTTTTCAAATTGGGGCTTTATGTGTTCAGATATTCTCATTAAGCCAGGGAGAAGTGTTAAATGGGTACTTTAGTGCTGAAAAGCTATTTTTTTTTTCAGTAATCCCTTAAAGGAGCTAAGGTGCTTGGTTTTAAGTCAGAAATTAGGCTAACAGTGTGAGCGGGAAATATTACAAGTGTCAGTGTACATAGAGCTACTTTACACACAAGATGAAAGTACATGTAACCAGGAAACTTTGAAGTAGGTTTAGCTGAAAACTGATCTTACACTGGAAAATAATTTCTGTTATGTGTGGCTAAATGTTAATGTTGTGCAGATCTATGTGTATTGTAAATGTCTGATCCCCAAACTAAGTTTTAATGCATTCAAATGTTACGGATTGACATAGTTCCATTTGTGGTTAGCAAGCTGCTAGATTCTTACAGCTGAAATACTGCAAATTCTATTTACAGTTACAAATGCCTTAAAGAAACCCCAGTCTGATCTCAACTTTTATTTTGAAAGAGGCCATTATATCGTCACCCCATTCTAATAAGCATTAAATGTCTTTATTTTTCGTAATTCCTTTACAGAACAAAAGAGATGAACATCTTTTGAAAAAAAGAAATGTTCCCCAAGAAGAAAGTTTAGAAGATTCTGATGTTGATGCTGACTTCAAAGCAGTAAGTTCCTTGATTCTGGAATTACTTTTAAAACTTTAGTGGTGTCTCAAAACAATGTGTTCTGGTTTTATTTTAACACTGGAAATCTTGCAGTTATTTGAAAGCAAAATCATGAACTGATATGCTGTTAAAATTAGTTTGATTGTGTTAGATGTTTAAAAAGAAAATTTAGCAAGAAAATTACTAAAACTTTTTTTTTTCTTTTCAAGCAAAATGTAACACTAGAAGCTATACTGCAGGTAAGTTACATTTAACTTTTTTCTTAATTAGAAGTGTGTGTTCTGTGCATTTTTAGTTTTTATTGGCTTTGGGTTTTTTTTTTTTTTTTTTCAGAATGCCACAAGTGACAACCCAGTGATCCAACTGAGTGCTGTCCAAGCTGCAAGGTAAAAATAGATAAAGGCACAGAAATGGATTTCCTACACATTTTTTATGATGAAAGTTACTTATTTTACTTTTACATTTAATTTCACAGAAAACTCCTATCCAGTGACAGAAATCCACCTATTGATGACTTAATAAAATCAGGAATTTTACCAATTCTGGTAAAATGCCTAGAAAGGGATGATAAGTAAGTACACTTTTAAAAATATTCACCTTTACTGAAAATCTGCATCTAAAATAACCATGCCATTATTTCAAATGAAACTGAGGATTCGTAGCACCATATAATCTGAAACAGTGGATCACATTCCATGATGATAAACCGTAAATTCTCTAGGAGTATTTATTCTGCCACTGAAATGTCATTTTATTTTTTAGAGCTTCCATGAGCATATCCAGCTAACAGAGAAAACTTTACTAAATTTCTCCTTGGTTTTGAATATTCCAGACTTTTTTTAAACTGTTTTTAAGAATCCTGTCTCAGAATTACTCTGTGTATTTGTATGAAGGCAGAGAATGTGCCTTGTTCTGAACAGGGCTCTTCTCTTTGCCAGAATACGCTTGTCTTTTTCATTAAGGTTATGAGTTAAAGTTTCTAGCTTCTTTCATTCTCACTGCAAGGTGGGTTTCCTTCTGGCTCTGTGCTGCTGCTCATGTGATGGTACAGCACAGTGAGCATGCTCTCTGTTACGATTCTTTGTTGGAAAACAAAAGCTTCAGGAAAGGAGGTAGAGAACATTGAGCATGTAGCTGCAAGAATTTAATGACATGTAAGAAAAATGCCATATTCCACAATCTGCGAGTCCCTTACTCGGATAGATGCGGATTAACACTTTTGAGGTAAATGTTTTGGCCTATCTTTGGTCTCAGGCAGCCATAAACATATTTACGTATTTCCATTTTCAAGGTTATTTCTGCAGCCACAAGGGCTATAGACATAAAAAACACACATTGGCATTTTGGGTATAATTTGGTGGTTGAAAAAAACATGAAGCGTGAGTAGGTTTGCTTCTAGCTTGTTTAACAAAACAGTTGCTTGGAAGGCAGCTGGCAACAATGTTCAAATCAGCATAGCTTTTTAAAATGGGTTGTGAATGCCTGTCTGCTCTAATAGTAGATGGTTCAGTGCTGTGAAAATTCTTTTAATTTGAATTTTCTGTCTAGTTTTTGTATGATTTACCTTTGTAAATCTCCAGTAAGCCTTTTGAAATTGAACTTAACATTTTCTTAAGCAGTCCTTTTAATTGTGGTTGCTATATAATATTTAGTAGACGTAAATTCTGCTAAGACTTTGTATAACGGATTGTTAAAGCTGTAGTTCATGTTATAACTGAAAGTTTATCACAAGAGGAAGGAAAGAAGGACTGACCTAGAAGACTTTTAATGCATTTGATCGTAGAATGTCAATGTTTATAGACAGCTTCTGATAAGTACTATTTGTTTTTACAAATCCTTATTTACACATCTTGGGCCCTCCCATGTAATTCTTTTCCAATCCCATCCCTAATAAAGCCTTAAAATGCTTTGGAAATTAATGCACAAAAAAAGCTTAAAGCTTTATGTATATATATATATATATGGTTATATATAAAACTTAATTGGTAAAGACCTAAAAAAGCATGGAAATCAAAAACATTCACCTAACAGTAAATATTCTCTGCTCCTCCCAAAGCCAGACACCTTACTGTTATGCTAACCACCAAAGCTGCAAATTCTTTTATAGCTTCTAGAACTCTTAACCTTCAGCATTGGCTTGAACGACAGTTTTCATGCAAACTGTTTTACTGAACTGCTGATGGAATAGACAACAGTTGACAGACATCTTGGAAGAGATGTTCCCCCAGCTTTCATAATATTTGTAACTAATTTTATCTGCATTTAATAAGTCAGTTTTAATACAGGTATGATGCTGTCTTTTGATACTGATGCTAGATCTTGCCCTTGTCTGTGATGGAGCAGAAAAATGTCTTTATCACAGTATACCAGCTTACACTTGATCTGGGATGTAATGTTAGAGGGGCTAAGTTTTTGTTAGTTACGGTCAGACATGGTTAATTTATTGAGAACTACTAATGGCAGCAAGACAGTTGCACTTTCTTCGCTAAATATGACTGGTGTTTAGATCAGTTGTATGTGAAGAGGTCTCTGTTACCCATTAAAGGGGCATAATTCAATTTTATGATGAGGGGTGCTAGAAGTCTTTCATACAAGAGATAATTACTTGACTAGAGTAGTGGTCAGCTTCACTGGTTGGTATGTGCTTCAAACAAGTATTACTGCTTTTATTTTTTTATTACTAATATGAAGTCAGAATGACGGGTGGTTTACAAAAGGTCATAGAATGTAAAATCTTTTTTTTTCCTTACAGCTTTTCCTCTGAAATGTGCAGGCTTAGAGGTTTTTTTTTAAAAACTTTTAGCCCAGTGGCACTGCTTAAATGTAAAGTATCTTAGAGTGGATACAGCTAGTAATACTGAAATGAACCATAAAATAATCTGCAGATCATGTTTCAACTTATTACTGTAAAATTACTTCATTACAGTCCTTCATTACAATTTGAAGCTGCATGGGCATTGACTAACATAGCATCAGGCACTTCTGCGCAGACTCAAGCTGTTGTACAGTCTAGTAAGTATTACAGTTTGTTTTTTGGGTGGTGGTGGATAGTGTGGGTAAAAGGAAAGTGGGATATTTGGATAACAAATGCCCTTTGTTGTCAAAGCCATTAAAATAATAAATGCATGTCTGTCCTCTTTCTCAAAAAATTTCTACATTTGCTCTTAAATGTTAATCTGTTTGCCACTAATGATTAAGGATCCCAGACCTGACTTTCCCATAAAGAAGATAATGACAGATCATATAATGAGTATGATAAAAAAAATTAGTCCTTTCTAATTCTTGCATTGATTTCTGAAATAATGTGCTGTTAATTCCCCTACGGCTAAAACTTACGTTCGGAAGTAATTCATTCTAATTCTACCTCAAAGGTATGTTAATAAATCTTGTTAAAGTTGTTAAATACATATGGTTATGTAAGGTTGCCCGTTTAAAGACAGAGTTAAGAAAATTACCATCCTTTCCTTGACCATATGATTAGTATATCCTGTGCACACAGAATTTGTTGTGTTGCCCTTGTTTCTTGCTTAACCAGCCAGTGAGACTTCCATTATGAAAAGAGATAGGAAATAAACTGTAAAGTTAATTGAAGATAAAACATTAGAATTAATTTTACAGGATCATATATATATAGTTTTTATGTATCAGCACACTTATCTTAAAACAAACACCTTGTGCTAAATACAACATTTTCTCATTGAACAGGAGACTATAGATAGGCAAATATATAATAAATTGTATTGGCTTATTCATATTCAGTGGTTTTGTGTGCAAAAATGGTGACTTAGTTATTTGATTTTTTTTTAAGCATATGAACCTGCCTTTCAAATCAAAATGCTGTTTTGTACATTTTGATAGCTAATAAAATATCTCACTAATTGTTAGATTCTGTATAGTTAAGATATTGGAGCAATAGAATAAGAATGCCTATCAAAATAAGCTTTGGATAAAATTCCAAAGCCTTTTAAAGAAAAAAAATCAACGTCTTGAATTTGTTTCAAAAAATCCTGATGTGATTTGGGCGCCTCTGTTTTCAGATTGCTTTTCTGGTGTCTAAATACCTTTGAAAATCTATTCCCAAGTTTTTTCATTCTTCTCAGCTTGCTTATTGGTTAGTCATTGTTTTCTGCCTTTTTCAAGTCCTACAATGTTATCATATTTGAATGAATGAATCTAATGAAAAGGCTGTTTATAGTATTAGCTTTGCAGAAAAAACCTGGAAAAAATCTTGAAGTAAAAATAAAAATTAGAATGAAAAATGTACAGCACAGCCAAAAGCATTGCTGTTATCTGAACAATTGCTAGAAGTTCAGGCTGGGATATGTATCTCCTAAAATCTGTTTAGCTAACACTTTAAAAGAAGAAAATGTGATAAAATGACTTTAAAGAAGCAAAAAGCATTTTCCAAGCTTTACTCCTGAATTAAAAATGGAAGAAGTTTAGTCTGAAAGTCTTGCTGCTTTGGCTAGGAGGTGACTAAGGGAAAACAGCCTCCCAACTCTACTCCCTTTAGATAAGGGCTGGTTTGAGGAAACAAAGCGATACACCCTTGCAGCTAATAGAAGAGGCTGGTGCAGCCTAAATACAAAAGAAGGCGGCCTCCTGCAATCAAGAGGGACAGATGGCAACTGGGAGGCCCAGCAAAAGAGAAGTACTATATATACAGAATAGATCTTGGCAGGAGCCAATTTCAAGCAGAAGTAATTAATTTTTTGAGAGCAGTAGATCAGATAACCTGCAACTCATGCTTTCTCAGACTGTCCTCCTGCCGAAGTACTGATATGAAATAATTTCATTCGTGCTTTTGAAAGCATACCAGGATTCTAATCTAATACAAACTACATACTTGACTCTCCTCTCTGAAATACATTGAATATACATATGGCTGAAGTGTAATCTCAGTAATCACTGAGAAGGAAGCTAGAATATTCCACTTGAGCTAATGGAAGTGGGATGATTGTTACAAGACCAGTGAGGCTGTTCTTAAGCAACGGTGTGTTGCTGTTCCTCCTAACTTGTTAGTTGTAGGCAATTGCTGAATTACTCATCTAGGGCAGGGAGGGAATTTTATGTTGTCTTTATTCTTCATCACTATATTTTTCAGGAAAATACATCAGGGGTTTTTGGCTCATTACCACATGCTAAATTATCAACAGACTATTGATTCACAGTTGCTTGCAAATTGTGTTGCAATTTTTTAAAATTTCTGAAGCTATTTTTGAAGCTATTTCTACAAGAAGAAAAAATCTTTTCTTCAACAATATATAAATTGATCTATTTTACTTTGCTCAGAAAGTTATAGGACAAGTGTGAACATGTATAGATTTTAAAAATTGCTGCAAGAGTTACTGTCTTTCAAACAGTATGGCTTGTCTGAAGGGAAGTAGTGCATGGGAGTAGTAGAGGGATGGTTTCTTAGCTCTATTAAATGTAATTCAGCAGAGACTGATACCCAAATTCAGCCCCACTTCCTTAATCTGATATGTTGCCTGCATTATGTAAGACCAAATTAAAACGTGTCTTAGGCCTGGCAGATGGATGTAAATCTTCACTGCATATGGAAACTAACTATAGCCGCCTCCTGGGAGGAAGCTATTTTCTTAAAGTCAAGATTTGAAGCATGTTTGTGTGAGCAAGCGTGTCATTCTGCTAGGTAGGTATTGTGATCCTGGATAACTGGAAAATCTGAATTACCAGGGCATTAAACCTAGCACCTACATACTTGAGGCTCTTGTGTACCACAGAAATACGGGGAAGTGTTTAAATGTGGGGGACGTTGTTGTTTAATAGTTGCTTGTTCTCAAGTCTATTTTTACCCCTCTCTAAATACGTATAGAAATATTTAACTGAGGTTTTGTATGCTCTTCAGAATAGAAGCATGTATCAGTACAAGGCATGGTAGCAAAAAGTGTTTATTGTGTTAATTGGGGAAAGTATTGTGCATATACCGTGTTCCAGTAAAAACAAATCTGATCTTTGCATTCTGTAGATGCAGTACCCCTCTTCTTGAGACTACTTCATTCACCGCACCAGAATGTTTGTGAGCAAGCTGTCTGGGCTCTCGGGAATATTATAGGTAACTCTTGTTGTTACAATGATATGAATTCAGGGAGCGTTTCATTTTAGAATTTGACTTTTTGAACATTGGCATTATCATACGAGACTATGTTTCCTCTAAATTCTGTGGCTTAATATAATTTTTTATGCAGCCAGAATTACATATGTACATCCTATTTTTTTTCTAAAGAATAGTATCATTATCACTTGCTGCACAAAATATTAACAGGATAAATTTTGTGTCTTGTAAAATATACATACATATCTGTACGTATGTATATTTAATTAAACATGAACAGTTAGTAGTAGACTATTGGTGAGGAAACATAGAATTTCAGTATCCCGACATGTCATTGCATACATTTCAGGATTTTCCATTTTTAATGTAATTTCTTTTACAACAATTTTCATTTCTGTAGGTGATGGTCCTCAGTGTAGAGATTATGTCATATCACTGGGAGTTGTCAAACCTCTTCTGTCCTTCATCAATCCCTCCATTCCCATCACCTTCCTTCGGAACGTCACATGGGTCATTGTAAATCTCTGCAGGAATAAGGACCCCCCACCGCCTATGGAGACAGTTCAGGAGGTAAATAAGAATTACGAGACAGATAATTTTTTATACTCTGGGCTAGAGGCCAAATGTTTTACATTGTCATACTATGAATTTATGCATGTGTTTTGCCATTGTCTTATGCTGCTTACCAGTTGTTAAATGAAGTAATTTCACCAATTCGATGCTTCTCGCTAAGGCTGTAATACAGGTATTTGTAACGTCTGAAACTGAGTAAGACTGAAGACTGATGGGCCCTATATTAAAATGGACACAACAAAAAATTAACACACTAGAAAGTGTTAATGTACTCAGCATTTCATAGTTTTATCAATAAAAAAGGCTACGAATGTGATTCTGTATATAGAAGTATTCAAAGGTAATTATTTTCAGTAAGAGGAAATGTAAGTAAATGAGTGAATGTGGTGGTTTGTGTTTCGACTAGCTGTGAACATGCAGTCAATGTCAAGTCCCCACTTGAGAGGAGAAGCATCTGAAAATCCTTTTAAACTGGTTAACAGAGCAAATGTGGTAAAGTGATGCTATTTGACTAGAACTATAGTTGTAATGTACATAAAGTTGTTCATTTGAAGATAAATTCCAATGTGTAGATACAGATTTTGAAGCCATATGAAGTATAATATTGTTAGCAACTAAACTTTATTGAATTTTTTGAAATTAAGCAGAAAACAGGGAAACTTTTACAAGTAATACTTTACCAAATAAAACCCCCTGTTTTTAAGCAGTCTTATCATGGCTCAGTTTTATATTTTCCCCATATGTGAATACAAAAATAAATTTTTACTTTAATCCAAAAGTTTTATGTATTGATACCAGGCTAATGATTTTTATCATTGTGTGGTAAAAAAGCTTTCAAAATAGCAGGGGGACGTCTTATCTCTGCTTGTTTTCCCTCAAAATATAGTCTATTCTATGTGTGTCCTTGAAATATAGTGCTGTCTTGTATTTTTACAAATTTTAAATATATATATAGTTTTATACATACTTTGAGGGAATGACCAACTGCTGGAAAGTATGTGAATGCAATATGCTAATGTAGTCTCAAGCTAAGCTTTGTGACTGTAGTGTTTGGATTTGTGATTGTACAGCCAATTTTATTCTACTGTAATGACTGATGAACTTCTTTTCAGATTTTGCCAGCATTGTGTGTTCTCATTTACCATACAGATATAAACGTAAGTAATTTCTAAAGTTTTAGCTATTTAGACTCTTTGTTTTCTCTAGAGAGAAAATGCTGCAATATTGTGTTTAAGGGGCAATTTAGTTTTGTGTGTTAATTTATGTATAATTAAGTAGTAAATGCACAATTAAATATGAAAACTACTATAATTGTCATTCAGAGCATGAAAAGAAAGTGCAAACACCATTTCTAAAATATCTTTTCTAAAAGTTTTTTTTATCCTTTACATTACAAACTACATTTAAAAAATCCTATCTTGCAGAATTGAGCACTGGAAATTTAAAGTGCCAGCTTTACCATCAGCTTCACTTTAATTCTGCCCCAATTTATAATTTTGTAGAGATGATACATAATGCGTGTGCAGAAAAAATACATAATTCTACATATTAGTCCAATCAAATACTGTGATCATATGGGTAAATTGGACTTTTGTAATCTGTTGGGTGCCTGACTTTGCAACCTGTTTAACTAAGGAAATCACACACAAAAATGTACTTAAATAAGCAGCAGCAATAGACTATTGTGTTGTGGCACCTTTCACAACTTTTCTTTGGGTTTTTAATACTAAATATTCAGTACTTCCCACATTCCTGATCCATGTGTTTACATACATTTTCTGAGTAAAGTCCTAGAGGGGTGGACTTACCTCCTGAAGGCTTATATTAGGAATTCAGGAACAAAGATCTGTGTAACTAAGGGATCCTGAGCTGCTCTTTTCCTCCTCCTCCTGTCAGGGCTTTGTAATGTCTTTGACTCTTGCTCCCTATAAGTGATCCTTCAATTTAGGGATGTGGGAATTGAACCCTTGTGGTGGGTCTGGGGATAGAGCATAAGATTGGTGGAACTGTCTTTCATTACTTCCATGCTGTGGTAGTGGTGTTTCTGCTGCTCTTTTAATGGTGAAGTGGGCTTGGCTCCACAAAATATTTGCAAGCAGTTTAATTTGGGATTTTTCCAGGGTTTTCCCAGTGTAATGTGAGTGGGAGACAGCACATGGTGACTTTCCAATTTGTAATTTGGACAAACCTGCATGGAAATTCATAGCAAAACCAAACAAACTTCTAACCTATAGGCTTTTTTCCCCTGCCAAATTTGAAAGCTTTTGGAAGCAATGATTGTACGAGAGCTTCTTGAAGTGGATATGAGACTATGTGATGCCAGGTTTTGACTGATCTCAATTAGGGTGCCCGTCTTTTTGATCCTGAGAGTCAGGTGCTAGTTTGGAGGTACCAGTCTGGTCCCAGCCTCTCTGTACTGGAGCAGCAAACCTATCTTTGGAGATGAGTCAGTGATGCAGGTAGGTCAGCCAACAGTCCTGTGAGCGCTTCGGGCGGCTGCTGCTCTTGTCACCAACAGGGCTGTGGGGCAGCAAACTGGTGAGGCACCATCTCTCACTGCTTCTGCTGCAATACTGGCTCCACTGCAGCACATTCTGCCATCCCTGTGGCATTAGCAGGTGAGGGCAGCAGCAGGCTGTGTCAAGAAAGCATTAGGTCTGTGGTGTCTGGTCCCTGGAGCTGGGTGGAAGCAGCCTCTGGATCAGGACTTTAAAGTCCTTCCTATGTTTCAGTACTGTATTATTTAGCTGTCTTAATAGCTGCAAATTTTCAGTGGGTATCTGTTTTAAAAGTAGAGTAGATCTAGGTACCTCGACAGGTGATGTCCTCAGTGGTGTCCAGATTTCTTTTCCTGCAGTTCCCAACATCATCTCCAAGTGATGGGATATCCCTCTTTCTGCTGGCTTTGTTTCTGCTTCGGATACTACCTTTCAATGACTATAACTTTTGTACCTTTCTTTTTTTAGAGAGCTCTTAAATCATCCTTATCAAGTCATCAGTGACTTAGTCTTTATTTTCTTTAAGATACTGAGACTGCCCTGCATGATAGTAATTTCTCTGTGGGTTTTTGTTTTGCTTGAACAGTTGCCACCTTACAATAGTTGCTATTGTATCCTTTTAGTTGGTACAAGATCTCCTTTCCTTTGCTGTGGATTTTAATCTTAATATGAAGGCAAAAAAACCCAGCATACATCCAGAATAGTTCGCAGTTTCACTTCAGGACTGCGCTATGGATCAGAAATGCTAAGGTGTAGATAGATGGATTAGAGACTAAGGGGACTTAAGTATTCTGTAATTGGAAGATAGCGCAGCTAACAAATGATAGCAGTGCTAGAAGGCTGGGTTGGTATTTTCTTCAGAAAGTGACTAGCATGACTACTTATCTGAGCTGGTTGTCTATCTTTGAAATGCAAATCAAGCCCAACAGTTTACCTTGGTGAGATGCTATATGCTGTCACTTTATGCACCAAAATGTGGTATTTAATTAAAAACATTTTTGAGAGTGGACACAAAGAAATTATTGTTATGGAACAAATGGCCCCAGGTTTCATAGATGTACATAATAACCTAACATTTTACTAATTAGGTCTCGTCATAATGTTTGAGGTTTTCCTGTAACTAAATTGCATGCTCTTTTTTTTTTTTTTTTTTTTTTTTCCCCCCCCCCGGACGTGTGGAATGTCAATCACTAAATTAAGAGTCCATTGTACGGATTTTACTGTTCAATGTGTAAACCATGTTCCTTCCAATTTGTAGATTCTTGTGGACACTGTTTGGGCTTTGTCCTACTTAACAGATGGTGGAAATGAACAGATACAAATGGTGATTGATTCAGGAGTTGTACCTTTTCTAGTTCCTCTTCTGAGTCATCAGGAGGTTAAAGTTCAAGTAAGTCTGGTTCAGTTGCTATTGAACAGGCCTTTGTAAGCTGTTTTCTAAAAAAAAAAAAAATGTACTGAGATGAATATTTATAGCTACATTTGTTGCAGGTAAAACTGAACAAAAAAATGTTACCTACACTGGAGAAAACGGAGAACTCAAACAAAACAGTTCTAATACAGTTTTAAGTGAAGTGACAGGTTAAGCATTAACTTCCATTGGTGATTACCAGAGGTGCCTTCCTTTTGTAGTCCTAAAATATTTAATGACAACAGATTTTATGTTTTGCCGAATTCAAGTTATATGCAGTCTTTTCTGTTGCTGCATACATGGCTGTGCATATTCTGTCTAAATAGCTCATGGAAATCAATATTTTGGGACCTTTTGAATGTTAAAATATTTGCAGATGCCAAGTCCTTTTAGTAAAGTAAATTTCTAATTAACTACAAAAGGTAGGTTAACTGAGCTTGTTTGATTTCAAAGACAAAGGGAAACTAGAAGCTAGTTAATGTGTGCTTGATTTGTATACACCGACCATTGTAATAGGGAGCTTCTTTACATACCTATGCATTTGTTGTGTTTGTTTAGTTTGTACTTTGGATGATACTTGTCTGTCTTGAAATTTGTCAGGCCAGTTCACTTGGTGAAAAGGAGTCTCTCTGGTATTCTGTCGCGTGTAAAGCGTTTACTAACCAATACATAGAGATACAAGGTCCATTTCTGAAAGTCAACAGAGAGTAAGAAGAAAAGTAATCGTGGGGTTTTTAGTTCTGTAATGGAGAAGTAAGCAACCTTGGCAGACATAGTCAAAGCCTAGAAACAGTTAATGCAATTGTAACTCAGATCAGATACATGATGAATTAACTCATGTATTGTTTTAATATTTGTTTAATTTCTAATCTTTATACTTTGAGTTGAGCTGCAATGTGTCTGGTCAGTAAAGTGCTGTACTGTGTGTTTCTGTTTTGATGAAACAGTACCCACTTTTAGCATGTAGCTCAGAGGATGAAGTGCTAAATTGTATTTTGCAAAGTGTTTTTATAAAGAGATGTCTTAAAATGATCTTTGTTTTAGCATAAGTAACAGCAATGTCTTTAACATGCAATTTTTTTTCCTTCCCACTTTGGATATTCAGACAGCAGCACTGAGAGCAGTAGGCAACATAGTAACTGGTACTGATGAACAGACACAAGTTGTTCTCAATTGTGATGTTTTGTCTTACTTCCCAAATCTCCTGACGCATCCAAAAGAGAAGATAAATAAGGTATGATTTGTTTCTTCCTAACTTAATCTTTGTGTTTAAGAAATAAAACAGTAGTCCATAGAATATTACAGAAGAATTTCTTACAGCTATTATTTCTGGCACATGGGCAATTTTGTATAAAGACGCAGCCTTTGAGGCTGGTGCTTAGTTAGGGCTAAAGCCAAAAGCTGAGGATCCATGCATTGGTGTTGATGCCTAGTGCCTTTTTGGGAGGACTGATATTTTTTTGCTTTGGAGCGTGATACTTTTTTTTTTTTTTTTTTCATTTGCAAAGTGAGTAACTGGCTAACTTGCATTATAGTTTTTCATAACTAGAGTGTGTTACTTTGGTTGAGTCCACTGAGTTGAGTCAGGTTGATCCAGTTTTTCCACTCCACCTTTTCATAGTGGAGTTTGTTCTCTTGGCCATCTTCTTCACCTTCGAGGAAGTAGGTCCTTTTCTGAAAATGGTCCCTGCATGTCCTCTCCTTCCTTTTGGCAGAGGTTAACCTTGCTGCTGCCAATAGTGGATGGAGCAGAGGGAGTTAGATGAAAGTGATCAGTGTCCTCTTTTCCACAGCTGTATTTCATTTTATTTGCAGGGTTTTTCAATCATCATGCCATCTTCCACTGAAAAGATGGGGCTGGCTGAGGAGGAGGGGGGTTTTATTTACCTTAAATGATTCTCCCATGTAGTGTACCATTGAGGGGAAAACTATTCGTGAGGAATCTCTGTTTCTTCAGGCCCTGTCAACTGCCAAGGGGCCTGTAGAAGTTACCTTTGACAGTTCAAACTGCTGTGATTTGTTTCTGACTGCCCTTCTAGCTCTCAGAAAAGAATGATGAAGAGCTCCTTTTGAATGCCAAGAAAGGAATTATTTTTGTATAAGGGGAGTCTTGTAAATGCTTTAAATCTTGTTTTAAGTATATATTGTGATGGGCAAATACAAATAAAAGCCAGATATACATCCCTAAAAAATGGAACCCATTATGGTTTTTTCCTGAAGTACTTCATAACTGGCTGCTTACCACATCTGGGTTTTTTTTCTTAAGATTGGAGCCTTTTTAAGATGTTCTTGATTGGTTTTAATATCCCCCTTTGTAAGCAGGAATTTGTAACTGCCATTAGACAGACGTTAGCTATGCCGATGAAACACCTGAAGCAGGTAACTGCTGAGTAAGGTCTCAGGACTAAGAGTCCTGTCCAATAGTTAATGGGAGGCCTTGAATGAGCTTTCTGAGCTCAGCTTCATGTTTAAGGAAGAAAATGGGAGCTGGAGTTGGTCTTGCTTACATCAGCACAGAAAGCTACTACTGAGCGTTAAGTCTAATATTACAGGATAAATCTTTTTTTTATATGAGGTTTTACCAGTTTTCCTACTTTCTTTGCAAAACTGATCTCAAGTTTAAAACATGGCTGTGACTCCAGCAGTGCAAAGTGGATATAAGGTTCAAGTCAGTATTGCTCCCAGTGTATGGAGACACTCCATGTATAAGTAATAATCTGGCCCTGTGAATTAATCATATCAATTTAACGTTGATCCCCTGTGCGTTTGGATTTCACAGTGCAATAAAAGTTTGTGTGCTAAAAGTACTATTGGGGAGGAAACCTGGAGGCTCTGTTTAGTAATTGGTCATGGTACAATTTTAGGTTTTGAAGTTGTTTTGTTTGGTTGAGTTTGGGGTTTTTTTTTCATCTGTTGACTATTTTTTTAAAAGTGTTTTGCTTTTTTATTTTGTCCAATTGTAGGAAGCAGTTTGGTTCCTTTCCAATATCACAGCAGGAAACCAGCAACAAGTTCAGGCTGTAATAGATGCTGGGCTAATCCCTATGATCATACACCAGCTGGCTAAGGTCAGTCAAACTATCAGCTATGCAAGTTGTCATCCTCTTTTTATAAATCTGACACGAGGAGTCTGTGATTTTTAATAATAAGCTTGACAGATGTTTCCATGCTGATTTTAATGAGCTATTAATTTTATTTTTCAGGGGGACTTTGGAACACAAAAGGAAGCTGCTTGGGCAATTAGCAATTTGACAATAAGTGGGAGAAAAGATCAGGTATGTGTAGTGGGATTTCAAATTGTCACTAAAACGTGCACATGCAGCAATTTGTAAGAAGCACAGTGCTGAAAGCACATTTTTTTCATTATTTAGGTTGAATACCTTGTACAGCAAAATGTAATCCCACCGTTCTGCAATCTACTCTCAGTAAAGGATTCTCAAGTGGTACAGGTGGTGCTGGATGGTCTGAAAAACATCCTGATAATGGCTGGTGATGAGGCTAGCACAATAGCTGAAATTATAGAAGAGTGTGGAGGTAAGTGCTTATTAAGCTTTTAAAAAAAATTAATTTGCTGGATATTATTCTGTCTTCCCCTTGCTGCTGTTGATATCTACTGCAACATTTTTTACCATGGGCTATTTGAATAAGCAAGTGAGACTCTTGTAATGAGAGAAATGACCTTTTTTTTTTTTCTATTTAGTTTGCTTTAGAGATGGTCATGTTGGAGGCACTTGCTGAAGGAGCTTTCTGTAGCTTAGGTATTGTTTAGGTTTAAATGAGAATTGTACTACTTTTCATTTGATTATTTCATATACTTGGTTCTTTGGTAGAACACACAATTCTTACTTTAGTTCATTGCCTTGGAAGCAGTTGTTGGGATCATAATTTCATTACAGACCAAAGCAGGATGAGGAGTCTTTTGGATATTGCAATACAAGTTTTAACACGTGCTAATTAATGAGTTACAGTAAGATACCAATAAAGGGATGTTGAAGAACGTGCTACCCTGGATGTTTTTCCCCTTGTATTATTGCATATCCAGTTTGAAAATGGAACTAGTGTTTTAAGCCGCCCTTGGTGTGAGGCTTTGTTGCCTTGTTGTTTTAAACTTGTATGCCACACACAACTGTAGCCACTTCCTTGTGGTGATATACAGAACGTGCAATGACTGAAACAAAAACTGTGTAGTAGACAGAAGTAGTCTTTAAAAAAAATTAAATACAGTTTAATTGAATACAGTTTAATTTTAATCTAAAAAGAGAGAAGATTCCATTATCCCTTGTTCATAAAATGGGATATTCCATGGCATGCAGAAGTTCACAAAGTACTCCTTTCTCTTAGAAACAAAGGTAGCTACTGTGTAGATACTATTTGCAAACTGAGCTACATCTTTTCTAGTACGTTTCAGTAGTAACATTTCATTGTTTTTCTTAGTTTTTTTCAAAGTAGTCTGTAACTCCAGTTTAAATTTACAAAACTCTTCTGCATTTTCTTTTATTCAGGATTAGAGAAAATCGAAGCCTTGCAACAGCATGAGAATGAAGACATTTATAAACTAGCATTTGAAATCATAGATCAGTATTTCTCTGGTGATGATGTAAGTATGCTAAATATTTAAGAGTATACGCGCTGTGCTGTTAGCTTAGTAAGTACATTCTCATTGTTCCTCAGCTGCAGTTGTCATGAACATAGGTTATATGGGAAGTCAGTTTTCTTGCTCCTTTTTCAGTACAGCTTCCCTTCATTGAAAGCCTTTGAAGAGTTTCTCAGTACCAAGAATTTTCTTCAGCGACATCAAAATGACTACTCTGTTTTTGCCTAATAAATTGATTGACAGTGACCTGATTTTGTCACACTAACATGTAAATTGACATAATTGCTTGTGATTAGAATCTAAACAGTTCTCTGGCTCTCCTTTTTGCTTTCTCCTATATCAGTCTTTGGAGGGGGTGTAGATCCTTACTTTCAGGTAGATCACTGTATTTCAGCTCTGTAATTGCTCAGTCTGGATTCTGCATTGAAAAGAGTCATCAAAACCGTTAACACTTTGTGCAACTGATTGATCTAGATCATCTGATATTTTGTGGCATCCTGATTAGGTATTTTGACTCTTTGGGTTCTAGCTTTCTCTGCTGCTGGCTGTGAGTGCCTCAGAACCACTTCAACAAGCAATTTGAAGGCAAATAATTATTATCTTTTCTAGGCCATCCAGAGTGTATGTAGTTCTGCAGCCTAGCAGAAATGTGTAGCTTCAGTTCTCTTAAATTGAACTCCCCAGATACCAGCTCTAACTTTGGGACTCATTAATTTTCAATTCATGGGCCCATCATGTGATTGCAAAGTTAGTCACCAGAAGTTAAGATACGTGAAAAGTTCACTTTCTCTTTTTCCCTGTAGAAATTCCATGACTGGGAGATAGGAGTTAAAACATAAAACTGGACAAATTTTCAGGCAGTAACTATAAGTAGGAAAATAACCCTTGTCATTTGAGGACTGGTGCGAAAACAAACCCAGAAAAAAAGAAAAAATCCAAATTGCCCTAGGGAGACAAAAGACTGGTTATGTTAGCCTGCTTGGCAGTGTTAAGATTGACTGCCCAGGAGTATTCCTGCCTTCTGTCACTTCAGGATCTTCTGTATTCTCATGAGATGTTGCTGGCTGCTAGATATCCCTTCATTGTTAATCCCATCTGCTCCTTTGCTGTCAAGTGTACAGGCATGTACTTCAGGACCAGCACTAATGGCTTCCTGACTTTGGGTTATTGTGTTAAAGACATGTGAACTCAGGTAACGCTGGCAGAAGTGCTAATTTATCAACAGCTTGCAAAGCATTCTGAAAACAGATTCGATCTTAAGTTGGGCCTGACTTGCCCTGCTCTTCCTCCTGAGGATTGTTGCTGCCACCAAAGTCCTTAGTCTCTCCCTCCAATTTAGGTATTGCCATTCAAAGTAAAGAGAAACAAAGGTTTTAGGTGAGTCAGTTCTGATGTCTGTGCTACTCCAAGGCCAGATCTCAGAAAGCTATTTAGACCCCCTCACACAAGGGCTCTTCCCCGCTTCAGAATGACACACGGTTTGAAACGAGGCATATGGTTCCCACAGCCTGGACTGTAGAGGTGGCGCGTTCAGAGAACAGGCGCAGCTGGTGATTTGGAGGAGGATGGGTAGGGTTTGAAGCTGGGTGTATTGATGCTACTAACCACGTTATGTACCATTCCTAGAGGCAGTAAATACCTAAATTCTAACAGCTCTGAGGAAGTTGGGTGAAGTTGGATACCTATGTCTTTCATTCTGTATCCATAGAGTAATGAAGTGCTTTTGGTTTAAAAAAAAAAAAAATCAGATTGCGCTTAATGAGAGCTCTATAAAACTGCTCTGAAATGAGTAATTCTAAATCCTTCAGATTCTGATAGAAGATACTGAGTACTGTCTTAACCTTTATGTAAGTACTTCTATCAGCTGCTTATAAAAATTATTTTCAGGTTGAAAGAGAACGGGAGAAAGTACAAAACTAATTTTGGAGTTCACAACTAGTCATTAGCCCACTCCAGAAGTACGAAAAATTGGCATTGAAAATTGAATCGCACAGCTCAAATAGCTACTGCTTGGACCAAGCAGCAACCCAGTCCCTAACCATTACAATTTTCTGTTTCCCTGATGGTATTAGAACAGAGCTGATGTGTTGTTCTTTTTAAACATATTTGAGGAATTGAACTGGAAAAACTGATCTAATTTTATTGCAATAATAGTTAAAAAAACCCCAAACATTTGTGAATCTCTTCTATGTGTACTGAATTGTGAGGGAATTGGCGTCTCACGTATTTTTGTTGTTGTACTTTATAGATCGATGAAGATCCCAGTCTCATTCCTGAAGCCACTCAAGGAGGTACTTACAACTTTGACCCAACGGCCAACCTTCAAACAAAAGAATTTAATTTTTAAGTTCAAAAAAGTGCAGCTTCTCTGTCCCACACCAGTATGAAGCACCACCAGATGGCTACCAGGTGAAGAAATAAAAGGCTCCAAGATACACATGCCTCTTCGTTTTGATGCTTCTAAAGCAAGCCATGTATCGGTCACTTTGCAGTTGCCAAACGTCACTATCACATGGACTGTAAATGCATATGCATGATCTCTTAAACTGTTTCAGAATTCTTTTTAACAGTCCCAACTACCTTTTTTTGCCTTTTTCCTGGTGCCACATGCTGACAACCGCAATCTGCAGTTTTGTTAAGAATATTCCATAGTGGTGGCACATTGGCTTTCCACGGAAAAGTAGCTTCTTTGGAAAATGGTGCGCTGTGGATCAAGACACTTTGGTATGATGCGTACATTTTGGAAGACTTTACAGGGGCCCAGTTTGCTCTGAGCCTCCATCATCGTCCTCCACAAACATACTTTCATATACTTTATGTGGAAGAATAGATTCAAAAATGCAAGCCAAATGAATTTCATTGGTGAAACTGAAATAAAAGTAACTTAAAAAAAACAAAACAAAACAAACACTTGGCAATTGATTAAACACTTAAGTTTAAAACAAACAAAAAAACTACTTCAGCTATCAGTAATTGATGTGTGTTCATTAACTGCCTCAGAAACCAGGGTTGGAGAACGAACTGTAGATTTGGACTGGTAAAGCTTTTGCCATTATACCTAATTTTTGAGAACAGCGAGCCCTATTTGACCACTCACTTCAGCCTGTGTGTTCCTGCTGTTTTGAAGTAATCAAATGCTGTGCATGGTATTTTACCTGAGCTACAACCTGTTATGGACTTGAACTTCTGTTTAAGCTGAAAGCAAGAGTCCCAGACTGTAGGAAAAAAAAAATATCTGTCCAAAAATGTATTAGTTAAAAAGAATCTTGCTTTCAACTTTCAGTAGTCAGTATCTTTTGTTTTAAATTGATAATTGGATATGGTTGATTTATATTGGGTTTAAACTGTGGAGCTTTCATGTTTACTGTAATTTAGTCTTAAACTATTTTTTACTTAGTAACCAGTGCTTATGATGATGTGGTTGGCAACAAACCAGCAACTACTTAGAAGCGTTAGTCTCAAATCTTATTCACGCGATTAAAAAAAGATACAAACTGGTTGATGTGTGAGGCCGTATGGAAGCTGCCATTATTCAGCATAAACCTGATGTGCAGCGCACATTAAATAACTTTACGTAAGGTAGGTGAGGTCATTGCTTTTGGAAAATCGTCTGACCCAGTCGTTTTCAAAGGGATTTTGGTATTGCTGGGGTGAAGATCGATAACTTTGAAATTCTGTAAGCTATCACACAAACTGGTTTTGTTGCTGTTGTTTACTGGGTGTAATTTCCCAATGCATTGATGTGAAGGGATAGAAAAATCTAAACTAATTTAGTTATTGGATGTGGGTTGTATTTACTGTGATGAAGATAAGGACAGATGCCATCAGAGCTTTGTGGATCAGCTGTTTTTCCACTGATGAACAACGCATAGCAGGTGTGCATTCATTAAATATATATCTGCCAAGGTGGAGCCACTTTAAAGAGTGAGTTGTCTTGTATCTCAGCCGGATACAAGCGTATGTTTAAACTGCAAGATTTTTACTTGCTAGATAATCTGTTTTAATATAGTGGTTTGGCCTCTGATTATTTATAGGTTTTATAAATTTTAGAATCAATTTCTCTTTAAGGTGGCTCAGATTTTTCAACTCTTGTGCACATAAAATTGAGTTGAAGTTCATTGTGCCTTTTTTCTTTTCCCAAAAGTTGAGTTGAAGCTTCATATGGTAACTGCATCCTGTTCACACACTATAGTCTAAAATCTTGAAACTGTGTGGTGTTCGCTAAAAAACTAAACAATAAAAAGTCAAAGTTAGGTAAGGTCACAAAGTTTTTTTTGTGAAATTTAGAGTTCCAGCAGATGTTATTGTGAACAAATATTTCCCCCCTTCTAATGCAATTTAGTCTCCCTATACGCCATATAGACTGACGGATCCCCTGTTCGGCCTGCGCTCACTGTTATCCTGGAGATTACATACAAATTGATACTGAAACAACAGTTTTCCAGTACTGTGAAGGTTGGATCCTTTTCTTGCACTCAATGCATCACGTTAAAAGTGAACATCGGAGAACTGGGTAAGGCAGGACAAAGCGTTTGCTCAGTTCTTTCTGTTGTGACCTTATCAGCTTTTGATTGGGATTGCACCATTTCATAGTTAATAAAGGAAACAAAGTATATTGCTGCACTTTTACGTTTTCAGAACAGTGTTTAAAATTGCATTGTTTTTATTATTTTTTTAAACTATCAGTTAAAATAGACTAAAACGTTCTTTCAAAGAGGCATCTAAATGTGTTCCTAATTTTGTATATGGGCTTAGGTTTTGTAACCAATAAAAAGCTGCTATCAAATACTATAAAAAATTCAAGAACTTATTTTGAAGATTATGAAACTGCTCAGTCTTCACGGATTGACTTAGGGGTTTTTGTCTTTGACTGGATGTTAGTTAGCAGAACGCCCCATCAAAGTCTGAAGTATGTTACAAGAATGAATAAAGCAAGCTAATGCAGTCGTCTCTGAAACGCTGGGTACTGTTCCGGTACGGAGTTGTACGCTTTTTAAGGAGGTGTTTCCCAAACATGTATGGGAGGCCGTGGTAAGTGGGCTGCAGCTGATCCGCGTAACTATTAAACAGTGACTTCAGTTTGAAGGTGCACCATGGTGTCGGGGAACTGCCATGGTTGTCTTCTGCCTCCAGACGCCTCCTTTCCAGGCTCCCAGTGCTAGGCCCATTGCTGACTCAGCACTAATGTTAAGCTGGGGATGCTGAGCAAGCGGGCCCGGCTCCTCCTGCCCGGTGTGCGCTGGCGGGGGGTGAGCACCAGGGCTGGCTTTAGGCAGGAGAGCGGCTTTCCATGGCTCCCCGTGGCTGGGAGGGATGGCCAGCGGCCCTCACCTCTGGCACGAGTGACCCCACTGGGGTGCTGCTCGCAGATCGATTGGAGCTGTCAGAGGCTTGCATTGTCAAGCAGCCCCCTAATTAGCACAGTCCTGCTTTAATTACGCAGCAGCACCAGTGGAGGAAAACTTCTTGGACTGCTTGAGACTGCAGCTGTGGCTTTGCCATCCTCACTCCGTGTCAGGCGGGTGAGGTGCCTGGAGAAGCCCCTCTCTCTCCCTGGGTAGGTTGATGGTGGAGGTGAGCTTCCAGTGCTGACTTTAAATCTTTGCAAATGTTCTATCTGTGGGGATATAAAGGATAAAGAACCCAACTCCCATTTCCAAAAGCAGTTCAGTTTCTATGGCTCCTTCAGCTTTTGGCTGACAAAATGAAACTCTTGTCTTGTGCTGGGGTTTTGCAACCTACTAATCATCCATAGGTGACTTGAAAGACACTACACTGGAATAAAGTGCGTTATTGTAAGAGACATCTTTAGAAAGAATAACGTCTAGAGGATATCTTAATGTTCCCCATACTTCTAAAAATAGACACTTTCATTTTGTTTGCTTGATCTGCTACACAGACAATTGAGTAAGAAGATCCACTGACAAGCTTATTTTTAAATTTAGTTCTTTTTAAATCTCAGTGGAGCCCATGTTGTTACTCTCATCTGACCTATAATGCCCTCTAGATTCTGAACGTGTTTCAAACTAGTCATTTCTACCAAAGCAGCCTGGTTGCGTTGTGTTCCTTCTAGTCTGCTGCATAAAAACATACTCCCTTTTGTGGCGTAATGATGCTTCTCTTCAAACATCTGTAGGACAGCAAATCATGCCAAGCCATTAGAAAGCACTTCTCAAGAAGCAAAGAACCAGTAGAAAACTGCAGGCTCCAACAGGCCAAGCCTTGGAAGATTTAGCTGCAGGGAGTTGTCATGATTGCCACCATCAACTCCAAGTCAGCATGGGCAGGGTGAGCTGGAAGCGCGTCAGCTGCTCAGGTCCACGTCAGGGTGGTGTGTGAACTGCAGACTGCTTGAGAAAATGGCCTCGTGTTAAGCCGTGGAGTTACAAACTAGAGCAGCTCTGCACTTAGGCTGAGTCTGGTTTGCGTCTATGTTACCCTGCTGCAGAAGCGGTGACGGGCAGGTCTGATCTGTGCTGCTGGCACAGAATATTTTGGGTTGGAAGGGACCCCTAGAGGTCATCTAGTCCAACCCCCCCTGCAGGAGCCGGGACACCGCTAACTAGATCAGGTTGCTCACAGCCCCGTCCAACCTGGCCTTGAATGTTTCCAGGGATGGGGCCTCTGCTACCTCCCTGGGCAACCTGTTCCAGTGTTTCACCACCTTCATTGTAAAAAATTTCTTCCTTACCTCTAGCGTGAACCTACCCTGTTCTAGTTTAAAACCATTTCCCCTTGTCCTAACACAGCTGGCCCTACTAAAAAGACGTTCCCCATCTTTCCTATAGGCCCCCTTTAGGTACTGGAAGGCCGCAATCAGGTCTCCCTGTAGCCTTCTTTTCTCCAGGCTGAACAAGCCCAACTCTCTCAGCCTGTCCTCATAGGAGAGGTCCTCCAGCCCTTGGATCATTTTAGTAGCCCTCCTCTGACCTGCTCCAACAGGTCCATGTGCTTCTTGTGCTGAGGGCTTAGACCCAGACATCTCCAGCTGCAGCAGCATGAGCGGCTTCCTTTTCAAATGCATTCATGATAGAGCTTTCTGGAGCAGCATACAAGTTTATAAAGGAGCATAGGAGCTGGTTTTTTCCAACCTTAGTTTTAAAAAAGTACATTGGGGATATTACAGCCTTGTGTAGCACACCAAAAAATATTAAAAGCATGATTCTTGTGTTTTAAAATGAAGGTTAAAGTCTTCACTGCTCTCTGCCTTCACCCATGAGCAATAAAATAGGGTGAACATCACCGTGCAACCTCGGAGGAAAAATTTCATGAAGGATTTAGATACGTGGCAGGAAGGCTCTTCCCTGGACACAGTGAGGGAACTGCAGGAGGGGATTGGTTTTCAGTTTGCTCAATGTACATTAAATAGGGCCCAGGGACGCACGAAGATGTGGAAGATGGATTAACCACCCTTGCTAAATGGAGT